GCACACACACACACACACACACACACACACACACACACACACGCACACACAATGCACACACACACATACACAGATATACACACACACAAACTGCATCTAATCCCGGTCTTATTTGCTTAATCAAAAATAAATAATGAAAGTTGGCTATAAAACCAAAATTTTTACGAACAGGGTTAGTGAGTGATTTATTTTCAAAAGTCTGTCTCATGAAAATAAGTTATTTAACTACTCCTTCCAAACAGGGGGATAATAATACCTTGTTTTTAAGATACGCGTTTGTGACATTGCGCATGTAGCAAGCTTTGGAACCTGCGTGAGTTCCGATGAAGAACAGTCTCATGTTCCAAAACAGACAAATCCAGCCGTAAAACTCCGGGACAGGTTTTGTATTTGTGAGTCTTTTGACATCGTAACCTCTCGGAGAACTCCGGGTTTTCTGAATGTGTTCCGAATTGAAAACGAGCAATTACAGACTTTCTGATTGGTTGATTTGTCCAGCGGAAGTGAAAGGTCTCTTCCGGAACCTCTTCATTGCGAAAGTTGGTTTGTCGGGCGTTGTATTTGTGGAGTAAAGAAGCTCGGAACAAGGGAAGCAATAAAATGACATGAGTCGTTTGTGCGCATTGCTTCTGGAAACAGTGGGAACGTGCTTAAAAGCGTGCGGTGAATGCGAGTGTCGTAGAAGAATAAGACTAGGAGAGTGGCGAGGCGTGTTTGCACAAACTGTCAATTCTTTGCAGAAACTGTGTCCAAATACTTGATCCTTGATCGATGCCACTTGGAACCAGGGTTTACAGCTTAATTTATTCATAAGAAACGCAAACACGCGCATCGATTTCAGAACGGCTAAGACTTCTAGATAATGTTTTAGTCAAGGATATCCTTATTTCAGAGTGTTTACTTCGTCTTAGTTATTGTTTTTATGCTCTTGAGGAGTAATGAGCTCTCTCTCTCTCTCTCTCTCTCTCTGTCTCTCTCTCTCTCTCTCTCCTCTCTCTTCTCTCTCTTTCTCTCTCTCTCTCTCCGCTGTCTCTCTCTGTCCCTCCCCCAGCTCTCTCACTCACCCTCTCCACACCCCCTCTCTCTCTCCCCCTT